TTCCCGCTGAAGCCTTTCCACTCGCCGCTGCGCACTTTCTGTAAAGAACACACACATCAGGACGAGTTCATGAAACACACACACACACACACACACACACACACACACACACACACACACACACACACACACACACACACACACACACACCAGAATAAAACCCGACGTGTGTGGCTGTCGGCCCACAAACCTGGCAGAAGGCCTTCATCTTGTCCAGCACACGGTTCACTTCAGGCATCACATCTTTCCCGTCGACGAGGATGGGCGTGTTGGAGCGGTTCCTCAGAGCCACGTGGAGCACAGCCCGGTTCTGGACGCACAAACGGCCCACGGGTCAGAAAATAAAAACAAAAAAATCCAAACACACACTGCGGTATCCGCTGGGCAGGTGAAGCTCTGCACCTCGGTGAAGTTGATCTTCTCTCCAGTGAACATCTTCTCTCTGGCCTCCTCCACTCCTCTGGACTTGGCCTGATCGCAGAAACAAACAGAACCAGAACCGTCAAAAATGTTTCAACTGCATGAGAACTTTATTAATTTAGCAACATTTGATGATGAAACAGGAACGTTTGGCTACATTCACGACACCCACAGCAGACTTTTTAACCACAGCCTGAACAGACCGACTGATCTTTGCCACCGCCACATGTGGAATTAACTAATGTGCTACATAAATGAACTTGATTGATCGTTTCTGATCAGTCCTGTTCAGTTCTGAAGGTTTCCAGAAGGTTCTGAAGCTTTATCAGCTTCCTGCTGAACCAAACCGAGTCAAAAAGCTGAAGTTTGGACAGAGTGGTGAAACCTGGTTTCTCCATCAGCGCCTCCATCCTGCGTCAGAAGGAAGTGGTATCAGTCTAAACTTTGTTTCCTCACATTTCTCCTTCCTGTGGCTCAACATGTTTTCTCTTTCAACATGAGGTGAGGCAACGTTTTGTTCCCCTGAAGCTGCAGAGTTTGAGCAGCGTATCTGACAGAGCGGAGCTCAGATTTGACATGTTGGGACATTTCAGACATTCCTGCAGCTGCAGACCTCAAACATTACTTCATTTTTCTTCTTTAATAGACGCATCAAAATGTGAAGTTTTAAGCCAAAAACAGAAATATATTTTTTTGTTCTTGTGCCAAATAGACAGGGTATTAATATTACAAAATATACACATAATAAAAGTTATTCATCATTATTGATTCATTAAACCACAGTTAAGTATAAATTATTATTGTAATCATTGTGGTGAGAGTAGCAATTATTTCTAGTTGCATTTTAGTCGAACCATTTTTGTTTTATCATCCATTATAATTAATAATATATTATTGTTAATGATAGATTTTTAACAGTGGAATTCTGAATATAAAAATAAAAGGTGAATAAATAAATTACTAGCAATATTATTCATAATTATATTAACATTACACTTTATCATTACTAAAAATGTATATTCTGAATAATGAAGTTATTACTACTGTTCTAGATTTTTTTAGATGTAGAATTAATACAAGTGTTTATCTGCTTAAGATTTATTTATTCTATTATTTATACTTAAAGAATAAATAAATAATCATAATCATGTCTTGAATAAATTCAATCCACACACCTACATTAAATATGTAATTGTCTGTAATAATTAAATTTTAGTGGATGGATTCAACTTTAATCAACAGTTTTTCATGCATTTATTTTTATTCAACAGTTTTCTGTCACTTTGTCAACTTATTTATTAAAACTACATTTAAACACGTCAGTTTAATTTACTTTTTATTAAGAATCAGAAAGGCAGAAGTTTCCGTCTGCAGAACCATGATCTGTGGATAGTTTTTAATTGAAACATGAGTCGAGTTTCCAGCTGCAGGAAGTTCCTCACCAGAGCCAGCAGCATGGTCAGCACTTCCTGGTTGATCAGGTTCTTGGAGTAATCCAGGAGGATGTCGCCGTCGTTCGTCTTCAGGGTCGTACTGCGGACCAGAAAAATCACAGTGAAAACAGAAAACATCAGTACAGCTGATTTATATGATCTAATCAGAGGTGGGAAGTAAACAATAATAAAAAAAAAAACTTTTAGAAGTTGTTTTACTACATTGTACTTTTTACTTTTGCTTGAGTAAAATTTCTGGATACTGTGAAATTTCATTAAATAAAGAAAATAAAAATGAACCAACTATAAAAACACATGCATGCTAAGCTAACGTAAGACTTATTATTTGTGCACAGTTTGTTTTCTAAGGTTATTTTCTACCTGCTGGAAGTATTTTACAGTTTTGTAACAGGATATTTGTAGTTTTATAGATTTCTGGGTTTTGTTATGATTTGGAAATCTGCTATTTTGTATTCATTTCTTTCATTTTAGTCTTTGAAATACTAGAATTTAGACATTTTTGTCTGTAATACCACTTTTAAATATCAAATCAGATGTTCTGATCAGTTCCTCAGTAATTTATTGTACAGTTACTTTTTAATTTTACTGGAGAAAAAAAAAATGTTGAAGTGGTGCTCAGAGAAGTTATGATCCAGATCAGTTTAAGATTTCGAGACTAGGGGTTCATGATCGGACAGAAACCAAACTTTGATTTATCTTTTGTGCGTTTGGACTCGGATTGTGGACCAGAACTGCTTGTAAGCCAGATAAAAACAGACTGCAGCCCAGCATGTGCCCTTCAGCGCCATGAGGAGATGCATCATCATCCTCTTCTTCATCATCAGTTTGCGCCCAGTCACGTCTGCAGCTGCATCCTTTCTGCGCAGTGAGGTTGCGCACATAGAGTCTGACTTGATCTCTGCAACAAAAACTATTTTCATTCATTTCTAGTGATTGGGTCAGAGAGTTCGGACCCAATTTCAGATCCGGATAATAGCATTGCTTGGCTCTGGACGGCACCAGACGGTCCAGACTGAAGCCAAATTGAACTTCAGACTGGATCAGGAACAGGTGGGCGTCAGATTAAGTATTAATTCACATCGAAAGCTGACCCGAACCCACTTTATGAAGAACTGATCATTTCAAGTTCGGTTAACGAGCCCAGTAACGACTCCATTTGGACTTTCATTAATCCCGGAACCAGAACACGCCCCTGTCCGATAATGGAAGCTGTGACATTAGCACACACGCTAACGTTAGCCAGGTGGATCCAAAAAGTCTCGCCCTGCAGGTTCTATCGTTTGGGTCGACCGAATCCTGACAGGACGAGTGCAGTTAGTGGAGGGCAGTTGAGATCCGGACCGGTCCGTTCATCTGGACCGGAGTTACCAGGATAAATCGGAGGCAAAGGAGTGACCTTGTGACAGCCAGAAGGAGCATCTGCAGCGGCTCGGGGAACACCGAAACCCGCTGACAGTCTGCCAGGGTAAAACTAGCGTCTACTGCCGGGAAGCGGGCCTTCCCATCACCGGGAGTCTGGTTCTTAACGCTTCTCATGTTCTCACCTGAACTTGTCGAATCGCTGCGGGTCGCTTTCGAACATGGCCCTCATGTTCAGGCTACCGCCGTTGGCCCGGTACCATTGCTCCAGCTTCTGAAAGTTTGGGTCTGCGTTCAGGGCCATGGTGGCTGCGGTGTGTCGGTGCTCGGATGTCGGATGTTCTGCCTGTCGGCCCCGTTCAGGCTGCTTTGACTGCCCAACTAACTGGAGTCTAAAGGCCTCCCACGGGCTAAATGGGCTCCACCAATCACAGCACAGTTTTCATTACATAACCCCGCCTACTCAATAAAAGTTCTGCTATGATTGGCTGCACCTCACGGCTGATGTAGCGTGAAATCAGTGTGTGGGACTCGTGTATGGAGGGTAATTAGTGTCCAAATTAGATCACTTTAAACTTCAAACTAAAAAAGAACCTGTTCATTTTTAACTAAATTACTTCATATATTAGGTAAACTACACACAAAGTATATTTATAATGCATTACCGTGTTAAATGCAATAAATATAAAAGAAATTAATCTAAATTACACATTTTTCAACAATATTAAATTTATTTGACCATTAGCAAGATTTCTGAACCATTAAAATGAAGAAAAAAACCAAACATTTCTGCAAACTTAGTGTCTTTATTTCAGTTTTTTATTTTACAATGCATCATTTAAAAGCTCACTTTTTTTTTCTTCAGTTGTAGATCCAGGCTGGAACCAGAACCTGCCACTGAACACACCAGAACAAAAACTGTTTCTATGCAAATCCAAACCGACATCAAGTTAGGAACCTCAACGTCTCAAACAGTTCCTTTCCCGTTTCCTGAGCACAGTTTAAAGGTGGCTCTGCATTTCGGATCGTGGGAAGTCTTTTTTTTTTTCCCTGGAGAAACTACGGCGTTTGCTGTCCGAATTGAAAGCAGTCAAAAGACACAACCACCTGTAATTTACCGAAATATTCTGATCGGATCTTTAAATGTCGGATATTTTGATCCGAGCGAGCAGCGGAGTCAAAAAATAAACAAAACAAAAAGAAAAAAACACGACTGACATCGTTTACAGGTTCTGATCATGCCTGAACCAAAAGCAGGAATATTGCTGACCGACATTGCTACAGTGCGCAGCTCCGTCTATCTGTGTGACATCACTTCCTGCCGGCCGGCGTGCAGCGCTTTCGGGTTTAGTGGCTTCATGAAGACTGTAACGAGACTGGCCGGCCGGCCAACTGGCTCCAGGTAGGAAGAGTTAAAGCGCAGGAGGAAAATCTGTAGCTTCCTGTTCATCTCTGAACCACAAAAAAAAACAAAAAAACATTTAGGTCTGTAATTCAGTGGTTTGAAAGATCCATTTCTCACCAATTCAATATTTCATAATACTAATAAATCTGGACTTCATGGTGAGGAAATCTGCTCCTAATGGTGCAGTTGTATCATTGGATTTAATAAATTCAGAGATGAATAGAAGCAAAATGAGGTTCCTGCAGTAAAAAAAAATAAAAAATCAAAACAAAATTTAGAAAAAGGAACAATCTGTGGTGAATCTGTGCAAACTGGGAGTTAGAAACGACCACACAGCAACCAGTGAAACCAGTGATGTTAGACAGGGGGACGAGAGAACGCCATAGTAGAAAAAAAAAATCCATGTTATAGAGAGCCTGCAGCGCCCTCTGAAGGAGGAACCCTGATAAAGCTACGAGAGCGACCACAGCTGAGGAACTAGAACATTTAGAGGGAATCGCTTTCTCTAATAAAATGCATCATTATCATGGTGGTCTGAGACAGACGGAACGTTAAGCTGCATTCAGAGTCTACTCCAGTGCTGGTGACAGAAACGACGAGGAGACGACGATCTTCGGGAGTTTAGTGACAGGAGAGAACCAAAGCTAGCCGTTTTCCCACGGAGGAAGTTCCAGCGTGACAGAGCCGCCTCCTCCTGTCGACACTACGCCGCCACTTTGTTGTCCTTCTGCAGCAGAACAACAGCAACAACAAGAAAACAAATACTGCATTTAGAAAGCTTATAGGCAACAGCTAAAATTTATGGAAAGACAAAACTATACTTAGAGTTGGCCAATATGGACTTAGAATTTTACGGCGATATTTTGTGGTACTGTTGTGATAAAGATTGTGATTTAAAAAACTACTTTTGCTTCTTTTTTAGGTAACTGTATGGCCACAAACTAATATTGTTTTCGAAAAATAATCCCATTTGAATCAGGATGCCACTTATTTAAAAGATAAAAACAGATTTTAATCTCTAAACTGCACACAGTAGCTGCATTTAATCATATTTCTGAATTAGCTGAATCTTATTGATGCTTTCATGGAACAAAAAGAGAAAAGTGTAAAAATATTTCCAATCATATAGCCAGTTTTTTCCAATCAATAGCTGAAACACATTCCTTTACAATCTTCCCCCTGCATACTGAAGCCACCAATGAGATTCAAGCACAAATAAATAAATAAATAAATAAATAAATAAATAAAAAGCAAGGGTCTATAAAGAAAAAGAAAAATTAAATAAATGTAAAATAATATTTTGTCTGTGCTGCAACTGACTAAATTCAAAATCCAAACAAATAGAAGCTGTAAAACAAGATGGCGGCTCTGGGTACTCTGATATCACTCTGAACTATGGAAACCCAACAAGTCTATTGTTAGAAAATATCCTAATTTTATAAAAATTAAATCTTCAAAAACAAACCAAAACAAATCAATTTAGCCTCAGGCTACAGACTCACCCTGTACGGTAAGTTGGCGAATTCGCGCCCTGCCTGGTTGCCTCGGTATCCTCCCCTGAAGCCACCGCCGCCGCCACCGCCGCCGCCGCCCTGTGGGGGCCCGAAGGACCCCCGGCTGGCCGAGCGACCTCTGCCCCCTCTGAAGCCCATCCCCCCGCGGCCCCGGTAACCTCCGCGGCCGCGGCGCAGAGGGATGCCGAAGGTTTCTGCGTTCATCCTCCTCTCCTCCGCCCAGGTCTGCCGGCGCTCCCTGCAGGAGGAGAAGGGAACGCTCAGAGCGCCGCGGAAACAGCCAACAAATCCAGTTTAATCTGGTTAGAGTCTAATCGGGTTTAATCCCCTTAGAAGAACAAAAAGCTGCTGATAGAACTGTAAACATCTGCTGACAGAAGCGCTGACGATGTTCTGATCAGAGCTCCGATCGCACTCAGAAAGACTGATTTATAATTCAGCCTCCAGAATCAGTTTGAGTCAGAAACTCACCGAGGGAAACCTGAAGCTCCAGATTTATCTCCAGCTTTCCTAAAAACACCAAAAGATCAGAGTCAGAGCAGGAAAACAAAGAAACATGGCTGCTGTTCACAGGATTCACTCATCTGCTGCTCAATGACACAAATATTCCTGATCTGACTGATCCCAACCAGTTCCTGCTTAGTTAAAGGAATTTCATCAGTTCTTTAAGTGATTCTTTTAATGGGTCTTTACCTGCTTCCGATTTCTCAGATTCATTTATTTATAAGTGTTCAGATCTGGTTCAGAAATCAGTTCACATGTTTGGATCAGTTGGTAATCAGTTCACATGTTCAGATCTGTTCAGGAATCAGTTTACATGTTCAGATCTGTTCAGGAATCAGTTTACATGTTCAGATCTGTTCAGGAATCGGTTCACATGCTGCGTTGTGTATCGTCTACCAGTCTGCCTCCAGGATTCAGAACCAGCTCCGTACCTCGTGTCGTCACAGGAGATGTTGTCGAAGAACGACTTGGACTTGTCGTAGTAGCAGTTTGGGCCCAGCGGGTCGCTCTCGTCTTCGTTGTTGCCTTCACTGTTCTGGGTTTCCACTCCAGAGTCTCCCTTATCCTCTCCATTCAGCGCTTTCTCCGACTTCTCATCTGAGAGACAAAAGAATCACAGTTTAGCTGCAAAAACTAAAACCTACAGGTTGTTTCTATTTCCTTTAATTAAAGAGATGTGTTCCGTTTTACATCCCAGTGATGCTTCCCTCAGATTTCCCAGTATAACCAGTTAACGCCAACCTTTCAGCTTCAGCTTGCTCTGGAACTCCTTCTCGATCTCCTCCTTGTTGAACTGGGCGTTGGCGCTCTCAAAGTCAAAGTCCTTCTCGAACTTCATGGGTCCGTCTCGGCGCACGTTGAAGCGGCCCCTGCCGTGATGGCCGCCCCCGCGGCCGCGCCGGTTCGCCGTGCCGCCGCCGCCTGCTGGAGAGAGACAGAAGCGCAGCGTCAGCCGAGAGGAAGAAGAGAAACGGAACAAATGGAGGAGATGCAGAGATGGAGCCGTAGAACAGAAGGTGAGGATGAAGAGCTGCAGGAGTTAGGATGCATTCACACCAGTCCTGCTTAATCTGCTTTAATCCAACTCTGGATTAGAAGGTTTCAAAGAGGGGGTCTCAAAAAGTTGGAGAGAAGAAAAAAAAAATAACAAAACTGAATCCCATCATTTTTATTTGAAATGTATTTGTTATTCAATCATGTTTTTTTTTCTTTTATAAAATGTAAGTAAAAATAATTTAAATATTTCCGATGCTTATTTTCAAACTGGCTGCCAGTCAAATTCATCTTTGCTCTTCCAGCTAGCATAGCAGGCAAGAAATGGAAAAGTTTCTGACAAGAGAAAGACCAAAGACAAAAACAAACATAAGAACTGTTGGAATAAAATAAAATTTAATGTGATTAATATCAAATTTAACCAAATCAAAAAAATGTAAATGTTGCATATTTTCTTAAAATTAAAAGTGGGGTGTAATAAAAACAGTAATTTCTGGAAATTAAGTCATAATATGTTATCTGAAAATAAACAGAACTCATTGTCATCTGGGATGATCATGTAAAAACTACTGAAAACGAATAAAAAAAACTATCTAAAAGTTGATGTTTCTTGAAGAGGTTTGAATGCATATGTGAACGGCAAACGAACCGGAAAAGGAAGTGGACTACAGCGCAGGGCATTCTGGGTAAAAGCAACCAAAACACATGAGTCTAAAGAAATGACTCGTCGTCTTTTACCAAAGACAAGAGAGAAATCCTACAAATGCTAAAATCTGACGCCACTCCGTTTCTCTTTACATTTCGTGAAGAAGGAAGTTGTGCTCAGTGTCTTCTTCTGAGGTTTTCATGTCGTATCCTTCAGTGCAGCGCCCCCCACAGGTGAGGAGGGGAACTGGTTTTTCAAAATGTTTGGATCGTCTGACAGTGCAGTATGAAAGAACTGCAGCAGTTGAAAATGTAACAAATATTGCAATTTTGGTCTCCAATCTAACAGAGTCTACCGGACTGTCAGGTGTGAAAACACCCTTAGTGACAGAATGATGGAGGAGATGCAGAGTCTCCATCATCCCTGTGGAGATGAAGTCGAATAGACAGATGGAGGGCATGCAGGATGGCTGCAGAGGGGACAAGGCTTTGACCTGTGGAGCGTTTACTGGGCTCCCTGCCTTCTCCTCGCGCCTGATCGCCCTCAGCTCTGCTCTGGACGTCTGATCCTGGAACAGCAACACAGTTTGAGTCTCCACACAGCGACCAGGGAGCAGCTGCGTCACTAAACTCCGTGCTGCAGTTTCCAAGCTTCCACCTCACAGAGGAGCCTTCTCCAACTCCGCTCCTTCGGACTAGCCAGCAGTAATTAGCAAACACCGGGTGAGCTCATTATAGGAGCTACTTCTCAATGCAACGCTGGTAAAAACGTTGTTAAAGGGTTAGTAGGAGGAGTGATGTGATGATGACTTCCTGAAGGTGGAGTTTTAAAAAGAGCAGGAGTTTTAAAGAGACAGAGGCCCAAATTCAGGGCGTCAAATTTCTTTTAAGTTGTCTTTTATATAGTCAGCATTTTTATAACAACTGAAGGTAACATTGTTACTTGATTGTGCTACAAATGTGGATGGAAAATACATAATATTGCCCCTTTAATCTGTTTCCATGACGAACTTGAGCAGCAGTCTGCAGCTTTCTGTCCAACAGACCCAAACTATTTTGTTTACAAGGTTCAGATTGGATCCCTGAGCTTGTTTTTATTTGGCAGACTGACTCTGGCAGTATCATGGTCCCTGGTTACCCTCTATGTTTATCTTCAGAAACTGAGGTTCTCACCTCTCAGATTGTCCACTCCGTCCTGCTGCTGGGCCTTCTGGCTGCTCTGAGACGGACCCGCCGGCGCGGCGCGGCCGTGTGCCGGGCTTCTCCGTCCCAGACCGGGGGCTGGAGCCGTGGCGGTGGACGCCGGGACAGACGGGCCTCTCTGGCTCACCTGATCCAGGGTGGGACTCTTCCTGAGAGCTTCCAGACTGGGACTGCTGCAGCCTGAGGAGAACCGGCGAGGAGAGAGACAAATTAAAGATTGATTAGTAACTCCAGAGACCGGATCGCCCTGTAGGTTAAACAGAACAACACTGAAGAAACATAAAATCTTAAGCATTTTGTCTAGTTTCTAGAGAAAATATCTTCTTACGCTTGAAAAAGGACTAAACTAACTTACATGTAATTTTTAATCAAGACATAGGAGCTTGTTTTAAGTCAATAATTCCTTAATATTGATGAAAAATACTAGTTTCATTGGAATAATACATTCCATAATAAATGTGTTATTTTAAAAATAACACATTTTCCCCGTGTAATAAGTGAAATATGGAACCAGGACTTTTTAAATCAGTATTAAGGAATTATTGACTTAAAACAAGCTCCTATATTTTGATGAAAAGTTACTTGTAAGTTAGTTTTGCCTCATTTAAAGAGTACCAAAATATTTACACTAGAAACTATATGGTAAGATCTGGTGATTTTACAGTGCAAGAAAAATATAAAATTTGATATTTGTGAATTTCAGTCATTTTCTCATAAACCTAGAGAACAACTGATCCTGGAAGCAAAGAGTTATGGAGTTTGTTAGCTTCCTGTCTGCAGTTTGTTTCAGCTGAATTTCTGCAGAAAGAAAAGGTGAAGCAGTGAAGAGTGAAAAGTCAGAAGCAGGTTAATATTTGCTGCAGCAGGAAAACACCAGCAGAGTGTTTGTGGGTCAACATGAGCAGGACAGGAAAACACCCGAGGACAGGATGAACCATCACCCTCTACACACCACTGGTACCGATCTGGGAGTTCACTTCCTGCTGGTCTTTACCTTCAGTTAAAGTCCCGACAGAGCGCAAGTCAGAACCGCTCAGACTGGAGTTCATAAAGAAGACTGTGGACCGCCCTGTGTGGGAGAACAGCAACAGAACTGAGACCTGGAAACACACTCTGCTCCAGACTGATGGACCAACATCTGCAGAACATCTGGGGCGTATCGATACCAGAACACCAACCGACCACACACACCGAGAGCTGGAGCTGAGTCGACACGAACCCAGTTAGTGCCTAAACAGAACCGATAATGCATCCATCTGATGTCACTGATCTAATCTGAACACTTTGACCTGGAGGTTAGGAGGAAACTCTCCCAGCCATCAAGATCTTCTGCTTTACACACAGATGCCAGTTTGGGTCCAGCTGATACTGGGACTAAAGAATTATTCTGAGTTTGGAGTCGAGACTCGGAAAGCTGCAGATGAACAGAACCAACTGGACGCAAAGTAAAAGGTGATGTTACAGGAATGTCCTGCAGGGGGCGCACCAAGAGAACGTTCTCAAGCTTTAATAAAAAAAATAAAATAAAATAAAATAAAAAAAAGATTCTGGATCTTTTTATAGTAAAAAAAATAGAACCGGATCAACAACAGAAAGTAGGATGGAGTATTAGGGCCAGAAGAAAAATGACAAGAATAAAGTCATAACATTGCAAAAAAATTTTTTTGTCATAATATGAGAGAAAAGTTCTCATAATATTACGAGAACAAAATAATAGGAGAAAATAAAAATCATACTGATGTGAGAATAAAGTTGTAATAATACGAGAAAAAAAGACGTATGAAAAGAAAGTCAAAATAACAGGAGAATAAAATCATAATATTACCAAAATAAAGTTGTGATATTAGTAATTTTTTAACTACTTCTACAGGAAAAAGTATAAAAAATGAAAATGAGGAATGCTGAAAGTTTCATATTGCTTTTAAAAAAGTAAGACGCACTTCATCAGTATCAACTTATCATCATCATCATTAGCAGGATTTTGAAACGATTGTGCAACATGTCTGCTTTGAAGAAATAATCACAGACTACATGAGTTTATCTATCAAACCTTTGCTCCCATTAAATCAACTTTCTCCTGAATCTAAAATCATCAAAACATGTCGAGGAAGCGGCGAAGGCCTCACACCGACGCCTCTGACCCGACGCCTCCTCACTTCCTGTGGCATGAAGAACGTGATCCAGAACCACTCACAGACTCTGAACCCTTGGATATCATGCCGCCCTGAAGCAGAACCTCCCCACCGCCCCAACTTACCCACACCAACGGGTCCAAACTGGGGCGAGACCAGTGGGCTGGTGCTGAACTGGTTGTAGGCGGGAGCCGGAGCTCTGTTGAAAAGGCCGTAGGAGCCAGAGGACTGGAAGGGAGTCGGAGCCGAGGCCGCCGCTGAGGAGGAGCTGGTGCTGATGGAGGACTGCAGAAGAAGAAACGCACAGGGTCAGGAGATCATGAAACTGGGTCAGAACCAGGGTTAGAGTAGTTTTTGGTTTTTCATCATAGTTTGGTTTCATTTCATTGTGACTTTTTGTCTTCATAAAGGAAACATGTGGGACCTTTTTCCCCGACTTACTGTATAATTATTTCTGCTTTTTGTCATTAAACTATTGCATGTTTAATTTATTGCCAAGCAGGACAAAAAAATAATTTGCTATAAAATTATTGCATTATTAATTAGAACAAAAAGCCTCTGAGAGAATTTGAGTAAAATCCAGTGACACTCAGCGACATAAGAACAGAAATACCTGGACGATGGCCGGGTCCTGGGGGAGTGAGCACGTCGGTTTGGGCGGCTCACACACCGTCAGGTCCTTGATGTCGCTGCCCCTGAAGATGATGTACTCAAAGATGTCGTCTCGCGGAGGAATGGGCCGGTCCGTCGGGCGATCCTCGGTACCAAAGGAGCGGACTGAGGCAAAGAAAACTCAGTGTCTGAATCACAGTTTGACAGTTAGGAGGTGTGGCAAAGAAAAACAAAAAAACCAACAACTCCACATTCAGGCTGAAACTTTAAACTAACAGGAAAAGTTGCAAACAAAATATAATTCTCATTAGTAACTAAAAAGTTGTTTTTATAAGGTGTTATGATTTAATTTATAGTAGAACCATAAACATGTAGGTCGCCATTGTTGTCATGTGTGCTTTTGGGGTTATAGGTCAGGTTAGAGGTTAGGCTAATAGGTTAGCGTTTTCCATGTTTACATAAATAACTGAGGTTCAAAATTTTCCAATCTGAAACCTGCAAAAATCAAACAAAAAAGCACAGCAGCGTTTTGCGTCCCCAAAATCTCAGTTTCCCTTTGGATCCGGGAAAAAAACAGCTAAAGATTTTTACATTTTGGGAAAAAAAGTGAGGCCTAACTTCGAGAAAAAGAAAAAAAAAAAAAAAAAAGAACTTCCAGCAGCGCTAAACATGGCAAATTAAAAGCCTTTCTACCTACTTTCAGAAAAGACTTTTATTATGAAAAACCACGCAGGGCACAAACACAGCAGCAAAGTGGGATTTTCCTCAACAAGCTCCGGACACTTAAACATAAGAGATTTATGGATTAACATCAGCTGATGTCACTCATCTTTAACAATGCAAGTCCTGGAAGTCAGAAACACGTCTGGAGTTATTGTTTTTACTGGAGTTAAATTCTGTTGTGCCTCTCAGATGATTTTAAGTTTCTTTAACAGAATGAAGCATCATTTCAATCATATTCTGGTATAAGTAACAAGCAGAAAAAGCCGCATTTCACTTAAATCTCTCGACTCAAACTGATTATGTGTGAACCCTGATTTACAGCTAAGCCAGTGGGTCAGTCTGGTGACAGGCTGGATTTTGTCCTATTTTGATGTACAGTTTATAAATCTCAGAAGTCAGAGGGCGTCCTTCCTGCACAACAATCCAGCTGAAGATGCTCCAAAATCAGATGTTTGCTTCTGTTTCCACAATTTCAAAGTTGTTTAAAATCGAGATCAGTTTACCCAAAACTGATTAGTTGGCTCAAATTAAATAAAAATATCCTGTAAAAAGCAAGAACTATTAAAATTAATCAGCATCTTGCTTTGAAACTATTTTATTAGAAATTTGATGACTGAATTCATTTTTTAATAATTTTGATAGTTTTTAAAATAATCACTGGAGTTTACATTAATTATTCCGTGTAATTTCCCTTTATAGTCAATTAGAGGCCAGGTCCAGAGTTATCTGGATCCCTCTGTTTATTTCTTCAGGGGCATGGTGAAGTTAGTGTCTGATTCACCTTTTCTGAATCAGCACTTCAAGGGCTATTCTCCATATTTTAAGAACTCTGTCCTGCTGAAGAGCTAAGACTTTGCTAAATTTCGAAAATATTAGAACTATTAACATCTAATTCTGGAAAATACTGCATGGTGCCGCAGTACCATGCTCATTATGACATAAGTCTGTCATAATGAAAATAAGACAGGCTTATTTACATTATGAACTAAAGGTCAAAAAGGGACTGCAGTTGAACAGTTTTGTTTGGATATATAAAATAAAGGCTTCCTAAATGAAAAAATACGTTGAAAAATGTGTTATTAGTGTTCAGATTAGAGCTAATCTTTAATAGTTAATATGTCTTAAAAAACAACAGCATACACCTTTAAACTGAAAGGCTCTCAATAACAAGCTAACTTCAGCCGCAGCAGTTAGCTAGCTTAAGTTTCCGTTAAACACCCACACACCGCCTCCACTTCACCTTTAGCCTCGAGGAACCTCTTACCTTGAGCCCAGGTAAAACTCTTACCTTTAGCAAGGGCCACGGTGGAGTTCTCGGTGTCGATGGTGTACAGGATCCCTTCATAGCGAATCTCGGCCTTGGAGATCAGGCTGATCTTACTACCCAGATAAGGCGTCCCGCCGCTCATGGTGGCTCCCGCTTCTCGGCTCTGGGAACAGGAATAAGAAGGGGCCGATGCCTCCGAGCCGCGCGGTCAGCAGAGAGGGATTGAGGGGGGACTCTCCCAGTGTGTTTCGATTCGATTCCCTCTGACGCTGACGCCGCTTTGCAGCTACAACATGGCCGCCTCCACCTCCATTGGCACAGCTCTGAGCGCGGGGGATAACGGGATTTGGAGTATCGCGTGACTTCGTGGCGCCGTGAATCATAGATCTATGATGAATAGAAGTGTATTGAGTTTTTTTTTTTTCCGAACATACGCATTATGAAATGCGAGTAAAAACCTAAAAACCATTTATATTTACTGGCGTATAATAAACAATACAATGGCTCATTCATCTGCTAACTGTTAATTATCTACAAAAGACTAGAAACAAACCGCTTAGGTTAAGTTTTTGATCTTATATTAGGCCTATTAAAAATAAGCGACATTTCTACTATTTCAAATTATTTATTATTATTATTATTATTATATACATTTATTGGGATATCTTCTGTTTTATTTTGGACTCTAAATAATTAAAAAGGTGTAATTTTGTTGCTTTGGAACTGCTTTTCCCACAGTTCTCGAAACATTTGGCATATCTAGATCTTTGATCCATCTAGATCTTTTCTCCGAATGCAGCCGGATCCTCGGCGCATGCGTACATTCTAAAAAACGATTTGCACAACAGCGAAGCATCAAAGATGGCGGGAGCCCCCGACCCGCTGGAGGACATGCTGTCCACCGAGGTGGACGAGAAGGCGGTCAGCGACCTGGTGGGCTCCCTGGAGTCCCAGCTGGGCGACAGAAACCTCCCCGCGGCTTCTGATCCGGACGGGAAGCGGGACGTGGCGGCGGCTAGCCGCCTCTCAGGGAAAGCGGGGTCTTCGGAGCCTCAACAAGGGCACCAAACCGCGGGGTCGACCCGGGAACCGGGCGCCAACCAGCCTCTGTCCGGGCAAACCGTTCCCTCCTCTGTTACCGCCGGGGCAATAAGAAACACCGGAACCGGTTTGCAAGCGGCAGGAGCGCCCTCTTTGACCGCTTTACCCGTACCGGTAACTCTGAGCAGCCAGCCCGCTGCTAGCTTCCCCCGGGCTGCTGCCCTGGCTCCCAGCCCGGTGGAGGCAATCCGGACCTCTTCCCCCAGCTTACAGCCCCTGAACGGCAGCACCGGAGCCGGGAAAGTGGAGGGCTCACCCGGTGCCCCTCCACCCGGCGCCACCCTGGCTTCACAACCCGGACTCCCTGCTCCTCAATCCCCGGCGGGCTCCCCTGCTGTGACCCTACAGGGGCTCCCCAGCCCCGTGATCAGCACCGCCCAGAACGGTTTGGACCCGAAGGGTTCAGCCTCCCTATCAGCCGCTCAGGTCCTGAACCACAACAACCCTCTAATGCACACCAAGATGCTGGTGACCAGCACCCCGGCTCCGGCTCCGGCTGCAGCCCAGGCCTCCATCATCCAGACCCAGACCGGATCCAGCACACCGCTCGCAGCAGCCAAGCCGGCCATCAACGGAGTGGCTCAGACCGGGGTGAGGCCGCCCGGTGCTGCTGTTGGGGCGGCCACCTCCATCCAGCCGCAGAGACCCCAGCTGGTGACCGCCACAACCCGGCCGGCTGCCCCGCAGACCCCCCTGGCTGTCCGGCCTCAGCAGCAGACAACCATCCAGCTGCCGCCCGGCTTCACCATCCCTCCAGGTGAGAACACACACCTGCTTATGATCGGTCCTGTGATGGTGGCTCCTGGTTCTGGAGGGACAATTCAAAGATCCAAACGCTCTGACTTAGCTGCACTGGAAAAAACTTCTTCTTATCAAGTGGAACAGTTTTAAGTAAATAAGTCCTTAATATTGGTTGAAAAGGTACTTGATCCACTGACAGATGGAACATTTTTCTATAAGTGAAAACATCTGAAAGTGGAACAAGGGCTAAAACGATTAATGGGGATAAAACATTTTTTGAAATATTTGACAACTAATTTAGTAATTGATTAAGACTTTATGGAGTATACAGACTCTGGATCATCTGGAGTCTTTAGTTTCAATCAGAACAACATATTCTAAGTAATTAAAACTGTACAAAATATATATATTGCATATAAGAACAATCTCTGGTCACTGTCTGTAAATATGTTTTACACATATTTACATAGTTTAGCTTCTCCTGGTTAAATACTGTAAAATAATGATAAAATAATTTTTAATAACTTTTGGTTTAGTTATTAATCTGTTAATAAAAAACTGATCAACAGTTCAGTCTTGCACTGTTCTGATGTGAAGTTGGGCAGCAAGGACTCTTCATGTTGATGTTGGAAGTATATTTTAGCTGCAGATGCATCTTTTGCTACAAATGATCAAGCGTATGCTAAAGAAATGCTTTGTTGTTGCATTTTAAGTAATGTTTATTTTATTATTTAAGAAAGGAATTGAATTATTTTAACGTACTTATAAAATCGTACAAAAGATGTAAGTGGCTAAATAAAAAATTTGCAGAATATGCCGATTTTTTTATCCAATTAATCGTCAGAACAATCGATTGCTAAAATCAATGTTAGTTGAAGCCCTAAGTTTAACATTTACTGTTTTTGAACTTAATATTTAGGAATTATTTACTTAAGACAAGCTTCTGTATCTTTCTGAAAAGTTGCTTGTAAGTTATTTTTGTTTTAGTTCACATGTATTAAAATATTTGCACTAGAAACTAGACAGAAATACGTGGTAAGATTTTTGTTTTTTTGCAGTGTAGTAATAATCGGATAACAAAACATGATTAAAAGAAGATTTTTTTTTCCACAGAATTTGAACTAGGTGAAACTAAAACTAAGACACTTTAGTTTTGGGTGGAACATATGTACAAAGTTTTATTTTTTATTTCATCTTAAATGCAAAATGTATGTATTTATTTGAACAGTTTTTGTTTAATTGCTGCTCTGACTGCTGTTCTTTCAGCAAATATCCTTTTTTGAGATTGTATACTCCAGTTAACAATTAATCGATTACAAAATTACTTGACTATTTCAATAAGGGATTCATCATGATTAATCTGATTAACTGTTTCAGTTCTAATCATTTTATCTCAAACTGGAAATTCTTTGAATTCTCGTTAATTTTTCCCAGATTTTCAGGTTTAGTCTGCCTGAAGTTTTTCATGTTTCATCCTAAAGCTGAGCACAAAAACAAACTCTAAATATTTGATCTAATTTGTTCTCAATTCTCCAGTCTGTCTAGTTGGTTCAGATTTCCATCCAGCTCAGCTGTTCTGTTTCATTCAGTCTGTAGAACCTCTTCGATCACTTGCTTTGATCCTTCTCCTGCAGGCATGGTTCTGGTCCGGACCGAGACGGGTCAGCTGGTCTTGGTTCCTCAGCAGGCTCTGGCCCAGGCCCAGGCCAAGCTGCAGCAGAGTCAGACAGTGGTCACCCAGAGACCCGCAACACCGCTGACAACATCGACTATCCGGGTCAGCACCGCCACCACGGTGAGTTTGAGACCATCAGAACTTGACGAAGATCTTCTTCATAAATTCTGGAGTTAATCTGTAATTTCAGTAAAATCAGAATCAGGTGATTTTTATTCTGAAACAAACCATAAATCGTCTGCAGGTGCCCGGAGCCCCCCAGACGGTCCGGCTGGCTGCACCCGCTCCCACCAGAATAGTCCAGTCTCCTTCCACCACCTCTGTTCAGGTAAGTTATCCTGCTGAGAGGTGGAACAGGTGAAGACAGATCATAGCCCGACATAAAACAGACTAGGATAGCAAGCAATTAATAAACTTACCATTAATTATCGATTAATGTTTTATTAGATTAAAATGAGTTTCAATCAGTTAACTAATAACATCTGCTTAGTCCTTAGTTCCAGTGGATTTAGTTAGGACTTTGACTGGGCCATTCTAACACATGAATATGCTTTGAGCCATGCAGTTCGATTGGTTGGATCTAATCATGCCTCTCTGTTCCTGAAGCCCCTCGCTGTTCCTGCTGCCGGAGCCGTGAAGATGCCGCCGCCTCAGAAAACCTCCACGGTGATCACGGCGGGGGTGACGCCCGCCGCCAAGCCTGCACCGCTACCCGGTGGCGGCGCCACGCCCCCTCCCGCTGCCCCGCCTGGCGCCAGGGTCACCGTGGTGTCGCAGGTTGGCTCCCATCATTTTCTAACGTTTCCGGCTTCCCGCTCTTGCTTTGTTTTTCACACGTATTTGTGCCCAACAGGAAATGCAGGAAAACGTGAAGAAATGCAAGAACTTCTTGTCCACGCTCATCAAGCTGGCGTCGCATAACTCCCCGTCTCCCGATACGTCCAAGAATGTGAAGACCCTCGTTCAGGACCTGCTTGTAAGCTGCTAAGATCCTTTTCCTGATGCTTCTACTCCATCGTACAACTGACAGAAGGGATGATTGAAATAATAAACACTACTTGTAATTCCTTCCCGAGAAAAGAAAGCAAGAAAAAAATGGTTTAAAAAAAAAAATCAGATATTGTTTTTAAGCCATGTTGCCCAGCTCTGCTGCATCCAGATGCTCCTCAGGTCCAGTTCGTGTCTTCATGGTGTCCTCTTTTATCCTCTTGCTTTTTGTTCCTGTGACTTCATTTCCTAAAGCTTGAATGTGTCCGCCTGTTACATCCCTGAACACTTTGTCTTTGTGCCGTTATATTTCACATCTTCACGTCTTTGCGCTCTAACATCTTTTCAGGACGCAAAGATCGAACCCGAGGAGTTCACGTCTCGGCTGCAGGCTGAGCTGAAGTCCTCCCCACAGCCCTACCTCATCCCCTTCCTCAAGGTACCTGTCCTGAAAAAATACATATTTCTGCCTTTAAAGCTGCATTTGCAAATAAGGTTAACTGATTCTAATTGCTGTGGTAATTGAACTCTGTTTTTTACTGTTATTAATCCTAATATTTTTTAAGAATTATAAAATTTTAAAAATGGTATTAACTAGACGTTAATGACTATGCATGTCAGTAACTACATTTATAAAAATATATAAAATTAGATAAGTGAAAATATTGCTAGTTACAGTAATTTCATGTTAATAAATGTGTTATTCATGTTAATATTCATGTTATTAGATTTGAATGAATGTTTATCAGACTGTAACTATGGTTATTACAGGTTAATAACCATAGTTGCTGGTAAAGGAGTGAATATTGGCTGTAATGATTAATCGTGATGAATCGATTATTGAAGTGATC